AGCAGTTTCCCTATCCCCAACAATTAAAAGTCTGCAGCTTTGTCCTGCACTTTAGATCTTAATTCCTACCCAGCTTGATGGTTTCCCTCTCCAAATCATTACAGAATGCCAAAGTGGACTCTAGATTGTGTGGGTTCTTCTCCAATTAACTTGTTGCTTTACCTAGAAATCTTATTTTCTGTGTCTTTCACTGCAAGGTTACTTAGGACTGGAGATTTCATGGGAGCCAAGCACGCTTTTTCCTTTCCCTGTTCTTCTTAAGTATATTTTTGAGAAAAGAAAGTAAACAGCAGCTACTCAGGAGACCACAGATAGGGAAAATCTCACACACACAAACATGGCCCAACTGTGCAGAGTGGGAGCGTCACCTGGGTTCTGTAAAATGTCTGAGGGAATCAGAAGTTTCCTTTCTCTCTAATATTTCTCAAAAGCATAGAGAATTGCTGGGCGCCCAAAGTAAGCCAGATCTTTGAGACATTTGTCTCAAATGTTTGAGTGGATCTGCCCTAGAAGTCTTTTGTCTGAAATGTCCAGAGAGCTGAGGAAAAGACAGTGTTTTGGCTTAAGTTACAGAGGTTCCTCGACTCTTTACCTTCTTTATTCACCAACCTGCCGGTGCATTTCCTGACTCAAATGTGAGCGGGCGGGGACATTGAGCCGAGTTCGGCGGCCTGCTTTGCTTACATGACTACCACCGTCTTCCAGCCGTCCTCCACGAAGCCCCACTTCATCCCAAACCCTGACGCTAAAATTAGTTTTAAAGAAAAACTTCTCCGTGACTGGAAGCAGGTGGCCTGCAGCCACCGTAGAACTTGGTGGCGCGGCTGCCTCCTTTGGAGCAACCTGACAGCTGTCCCCTGGCTGGGCTGATGCTCACAGGTGCTCCGCTGCCTGCACGAGCAGCGCGTCCACGGCGGCCGCCGGGGCCCTCCTGAGTCACCCCGAGTGACAAGCTGACTTAACTCCTCAGAACCTGCCGACAGTCGCCCTCCTCCATTTCAGCACATTTTCCACATCTTTCATCCTTTTTGCCACAAAACTTTCCCTCTTCCAGGGCAGGATCTGAAAATCCTAGAGGCAGACACTTTGCCCTCTAGTAAAACTTTTCTTCTCGTGGGTCAGGTAGTTTCCAATCCACAGTCCCCCCCCCCACCCCACGGTTACTCTGTATTTTCTTTTCCCAGTCAAGCTTTTCAATAGTGAATGCCAAATCTTTCTAAAACCTCGGGGGAGGAGGGTGCAGCAGACATGAGCTGCTACTCAGCATCCTGGACAGCTCAGACTGCATCTTCAGGCTCCTGAGTTTTATTTAGAAGCCAAAGCATGTATCAGGTTGAAGAACCTCCGTTATTGAGCAGATAACACGTCAGAATGCTTTTCCTTCCTCCTTGGCCATTGCCCAGAATCTACAACCCAGAAGATAGCTTCTGAACTATCCTATTACGTAAGCATAATAATAATTTTTTAAAAGCGTCCTTGCTTCACAATTTCACAACCCATTTCTGCACACAAGCCTGGAGGCACTTTCCCCGCAGAAGCCGAAGCAGTGCTTGCAGGGCGTGCTCAGGGTGATTTCTCAGACGCGAGAGGGCGGGTGTTGGGACGTCATTGTACTCATATTTTAAAATCCTGTGTTAAGCAATGAATTCACTTTTCACCATGCATTCGCATAGAAAGGTAAGAGTGTTTGTTCCTTTGGCAAGTTTCAGGAGCAGATTTGCTTTTGAAACGACTGTATTTTCCGCGGCACCCGCTACAACGAGTCAGTGCGCCCCCTGCTGACGAGCCCGCAGCGCTACTCCTTAGCAAAGTTTATTTTGTTCAGTAAACCGTGTCATATAAAATTAACAACAACCAATAAAATTAGCTTATATGTTTCAACTGTAAAAGTCCAAAACAAAATAAAGCTAGTTTTAGTGGCACTAGAAATCTCTAGTTTGGCATCTTCTCTTTGGCTGAACCAAGGTCCTTTTATCTAAAGCCCAGTGCACAAACATATAGCTTAATGTGACTAGTGTTCTTTCTTTTATTTCTTTCTCTATGGCAACCAATATACTCTGCTCAGAAATGTTCCCCATCAAGGAAACAAATGATCTTCAGGGAGCGGCTCTATATGGCCTGTGGCCCGGCAGAGCACACAGAGTTAACCCCAGTCAAAGGGACGCTGCGAAGCATACAAACCCGGGTGGAAAACTGGCCCTGCCGAGCCCCTCCCCACCGAACCCTCTGCCTTCTTGTCACAAACCACTGCGCTGACTGTTTCCAAATAAATCACCAGCTCTACCCTGCAAGGTGTGCTTCCTACGAGATGGGGGGGAACCAAAAAAAACCCCAAAACTCCAGCCCTGATTCCCCCTCCAGGGCCCAGAAGCAGCTTCCTTTAGAACAAAACCAAGAAGCCTTGCAAATCCTCTCCGGCCTCTTTCACAAAGGTAAGCTCTGCTCACGCTGCCCGGACTTGGCCTAGCCGTTTGCTCCAGCCATATTCACCTAATGACTGCTCCTGGTAAAGAACCGCACCCTCAGCTTTTACAAATCCCAGCGACCTGGGCTGGGGATGGGGGTGGGGGGCAGCCAGGCTGTCCAAAATGGAAAACACAGTACAATCCAGTCTTCTGCAGAAGCTCTAGCCTCCGTGGGCAGTAAAGTCTGGGATGTCCTGGTTACTTTTGATTGATCACCCGCCTTGGGGATGGGCTTTCACTGGGAGCCAGCAGGGCTCACCACCCCCTGCTCGGGCGACTGGCCTTAGCCAGGGGGGCGCTGACTTCCTGCTCCTCTCCCTCCCGAACTCCTCCTGCCCCAGCTCCTGCCTCCCGGCCAGTCCCTAGCCCCAGCTCCCAGAGCGCACCCCCCACCCACCCACCCACCCACCCAGCAAGTGCACACAGCTCAGCACACAGCCACTAGAGACAGAAAGGGGATGCTTCTCCTTGCATCCTGATTCTCTGGGAGCAAAAAAAAATTCCAAACAAGACACATTTATATAGTGCACGCCTCGTAATCACATTCTTTTGCAGCCCCCCATCAACAATTAAAATTAATAATATTCTTCTCCTCACACACCCCAAAAGTGCCTCGCTCTGTGGAGCTTTGGAATGAGTCCATATTTTTATGCAATATTTTAGCAGGGTTGGATTTCTCTTCCTCCCTCCCCAACGCACTCTCCCTTCCACCCCAAGACAGTGGCCCTGCGAATCTTCTCCTGTCCCGAGCCTTGCAAACAAGGGCCCACACCTGCAAGACCACAGACAAATAAATGCACCAGATAGAAAGGGGCGGAGATGAGAACGCGGGAAAGAAAATGAAAGGCACTTACCGAGCAAATTTCCAAGGTTAGATTTTTTTAAAATAAAACAAGGTGTTTTATTTTTCTAAAATAAGGTACCTGGGGGTGGAGGGGAGGCACATTCTCAACTCTGCGGCACCGGCGGAGCCTAGGTCTTCCCTGTACACTGAGTCCTCTAAGCCCAGCTCGCACTAGTCTATTATTTTCACCAAAATATATGAAAATGTATGCAAATGAAAATCAGCACTAACTGTTCTCCCCTTGTTATATACTTTGGATTTTTTTTTTCCAGACAAAACAATCACACTCTGCAAAGGGAAGGGGCGGATGGGTGGGGCGGGGGGTGGGGAGCTAGGCGAGAACGAAGTACGTGGAAAGGGGGGAGACGAAGGGGACAGAGCGGGGAACCCGAGCGCGTCTCTTCTCCAGGCGCGAGGCGTTTTGGGGGGCTTCCCGTAAGCGCACACACCCTCCTTGCAAAGAAAGAAAGGGAGAAGGAGAGAGAGCGGATCTGTTTGCAGAGGCGCTATCGCGTTTCATCAGGCCACCTGAGACTGCTTTTGAAAGCGTGTACTGTGAAATTCATAGCAGTAATTTAGACAAAATCCTCGCTGTATATTAATGAAAGGCGGCCCCGTGGCTCTGTTCCTCTGCTCCCCATTCAGTGTAAACAAAACCACGAGACTCTCTCGGTTTTTGAGCCGGATCCAAGCAAAATCGGCAGCAAAGGAAAGCACGGGGCGCTGGCACCGACTATTCCAACGTCTGCACCTGGAGATCTCAGATTTATTCAATGAAATCTGTGTTCATTCCTTCATATATACATCCAAGCATACATAAATATAAAAAGGGACCTATGGGGGACGCGGGGGAAGAAGCCGTTCTGCTTGGGTTTTGATCGCCGCCGTCTTTTAGGTCTGTAACTTGGCAATAACGGCCTTGCTGAGATCGGCCTAGATGGCACCTTTCTCCCGGTGAGCGGGAGCCGGACCACAGCCTACGGAGCCCTAGGGGCTGCCGCAGCCCATCGAGATCGTCAGAAGCTGCGCGGCTGCCGCGGGAGAGGAGGCAACTCGGCCGGTCGCCGGCCGGAGGAGCCGCTCGGCAGGGAGCGAAGAGCGCAGGCCGGCCCGCACCTTCTCGAGCCTGGCCACCGAGCCAGAGCTGCGCCCCGGACAGGCGGCCCCGCGACTGGGGAGCAGGGTGCGCGCACACGCACACTCATTAGAAGCCGTGTATTTATTGAATGTCCGAATTGGGTTAGTTCACTGGGAATCCCCGAGGAGGGTTCAATTTGCCCTTGTTTTCGTTGCCACTTTCTCTTTTTTTCTTGGTTCGCTGAAGCTCCTCAGAGCAGCGTTTCCGCTTGGCCGCGTCCCCCTCCAGCCCCCCTCCCGCCTACCCCGCCCCCACCCCGTCCCCCTTAACTCTTTCAGCCGAGCCGGGGCTGGGAAGCTCCCCGGCCGCCAGCCCCTCCGCCGCGCAAACCCAGCTGAGACAGAAAGGAAAGAAGAAAAGCACCACGATGCCTAAAAATAGCGAGCGAGCAAAGCCCCTCCGCTCCTAACAATCACACTGAAATTGCACACACACTCACGCGCGCGCACATGCACGCACGCACACACGGTAAGCGGTGCAGCGGTGCAGGGCGCGGCCGGCGGATCCCGGCTCTGGCAGCTCCTGCGGGTGCTCGAGGCTGGGGGGCACTTACGAGGCGTCTATGGGGGAGATCGGACCGACTGCCTTGCAAACCCAGCGCGTGGCTCCGCCAGCCGGCACCTCCAAACTCACAAGGGCACGCGCGCCCCGGTCCCCCGGAGGGCGGCGCGGGCGGGCGAGGGCGGGGTGCGGCAAGGATCCGACCGCACGCGCTGTGCGGACCGCCGGGCTCCGGAGATGGCATCTGCGAACTTAAACAAAGGAGCCGGCGCGCCGCGCTGCAGAAAGTTGCGGTGGCCAAGATCCAAGGCGCGTGGCCACGGCCCCCACCCGGAGCCGCCCCCTCCGGGACAGAGCCGGGGGTCGGCGGGGGAAGGGAAGAGGAAACTTCGAGCCCACTGGGGACACCTCCCTGCCTAGGTACCGCGCACCCCGCGGCTCTCCGGGTGGGGGCGGGGGTTGGGCGCACGCACGCCGGGCTGGCTGGGTGGGGTGACTCGGCCGCGGTTTCCCGTGAATTTCTGCTCTCCGGATTCCTCCCGACCCCCGTTCTTCCCTCCCTTTCTCTCTCTCTCCCCCGCCCACCTCTCCCCCACCCCCAGGCCGATCGCAAGCACAAGGAGCCGCTGAGGGACGCCAGCCTTTGGGCCGGACGCTAAGAGTTAAGATGTGGCGGCGGGGGAGGGGCGGGGAGGGGAAAGTGGCGGGGTGGGGGGCGAGGCCCGGGACGACAGATTTCAGGCTTCTACGACGCGCTGCCTAAATTAAAAAGCAACCAATCGGAACGGCCGGAAGGGGGGCCGCGCGTCCGGAGCCAGTCATTCCGGGGCTGCCAATCACGCAGCGGGTAGCCAATCGGCGGGGGCCCTGGCGTTCGACTTCCTTGTATTTGGGAAAGTGTGGTGGTGGGTGCGCGCTCGCGGCGGAGGGTAAACATTCGACAGTCCCCGCTCGGAGAGGGAGGGACAGAGAGCGAACTGTCAGATCGCGGCGAGCAAGCGCTGGCGCCCGAGAGCCGAGCGAGGGAGGGCGAGGGAAAGTGCGCGAGGGCGAGCGAAGAGAGAGCGCGAACCCGGGCGCAGAGGAGCTCCGCCGCACCACCGCGCCGGCCCGCGCCCCCGTCGGGGCTCCCGAGAGCTAGCGAGCGAGCGCGCAGCGTCCCCGGAGGGGTCGGGTGCAGGAGCCCCTCTATGCACACACACACCTCCACCGCCGCCAATGCAAGCCTCCTCCTCCTTCTGCAGACCACTGCTGGGAAAAAAATAAAACAGCAGCCCCAAGCGCCAGCGACAAGGTAACAGAGCAGTTCGACATCATTTTTTTTTCCTGTGCATTTTTTTTCCTTGTTATATTTGTTTCCTAATTTCTGCCCAAAAGGAAAGATGTCGCATCAGACTGTGACTGTTGCGAGGAGAATGAGAAAGGACTCTTGTGTCCGAGGCAGCCTAGAGCTCCGGCAATAGCAACTTCAGCGCAATGCACCCTCGGAGGAAGTTTTCCTAGGACAGAACCAAACTTGGAAAGAGTGGACCCGAGGGGGGCAGCAGGCGCCGGGCTCCCCTCTCTGAGCCCAAGAGCGCCCAGCACCTCCAAGCCTTCTGAGACATAGAAAGTTTTGCCACGCCAAGGGGAAGCCTGAGAGATGCGTTCCTGAACGAGAGCCCGAGGAGGCTGCGGGCTCAGGCCGGCGGCTGGCCACGCGTGACTTGGCGAAGGAGGGAAGGCACCGCTTCTTTGTTGTCGCCCGCAGAGCCATCATCTAGCAGGTGGACCTAGCCCCGCACCCCAGAGGCCCGGAGGCAGCAGCGGCCCCGCCCGGCCCGGCCCGGGCCAGCGACCCCCGGAAG